CATTCAGCCACACAGGAGCCAACGGCCGGTGCTGAACCCAGAAACAATATTTATTTGTAAAGCCAGAACCAGCAAAGTCAAGGGCAAGAGAGATTTTTTTTTAATGTGTGTATTCCAGAATGTTTGCGGATAATAGTGCGTGGACGGAGCACCCCCTGCCGCAGGTGCTGCTCCAGTGCTTTCCATGAACAAATTCACACCTGCACAGCCTCCCCATGATGACGGTACAGTTATCTCCCCAACTCACACATGAGAAAGCCCAAGAGAAGGGTACCTTTTCCAATTGAATGGAGCACACACACCAGCGCAAACTCAGACCCAGGTTGGCTGGCGTGGGAATGAGTGGGCACTCTTACTGTGCCCACTGCAGTGAAGGTGGGGGTCAAAGACAGGACTAGGCCACCAGAGGAGGGGTGGTGGCAGCTGCGGCCAAGTCAGGCTGAGAAACAGGGTGGAGAACTGCAGACCTGGACAAAGCAGGATGCCCCTGGCCCCTCACCCGGCTGTGCAGCTGATGGGTGCAGAGTAGCAGGGACAACAGCTGGAGAGGAGGCAGCCTGGTCTTTCCCATAGTGGAGGGGGCTTGGGGAGGAAGTGGGGCAAGGATTGGAAATTTTTAATATGAACAACACCAAAGAAGATGAAACCTAGAAATAGGCTTCCATGTTCCTATCTGGAGACCAAAGGAATGCATACAGGGCTCCAAGAACAAAAGGAGAGTAAGAGATTTGTGAGGAAGGAAGTCCATGCCCAGGGCAGCTAGGGGATGGCGAGCAGTTCGGGGGAAGTGGCAAGAGTGAGGGCTGGGGTAGTTTTGACCCCAGGCTGCCCAACCATGGTGTGGTCTTGGAGCACGAGAGGCACCTACACCGGGTCCCCACCCCTGCCCTTGTCTATGGGGAAGGAGAGAGGCTGCCTCCATCCCATCTCCTTCTTTGCTGCACTGAGGGGAGACATCTGCTTTGCTCTTGCTAATTTAGTGTGGGAAGCCTGGCCCGCGCTCTGGTGTAGATAACGATGCCTGCCAGCTGGCAGGCAGGCTGGGGAACCAGGGGCCCAGCCGCATCCCTCCCTGCCTGGCATTCCATCACCCTGCACCCGGCACCCCGGGAAGGCTGCAGCTGCCCTGTCACCCCATATGCCCACGTGGAGGCAGTGGGAGGAGGGCAGGGTTCCTGCCTCGCAGGCTCAGGCTGCAGCCTCCAGACCAGCAGGCCTCTCTCATAGCCCTCTGAGCTTGCTTTGCCCAGATGGAAGCCAAGGGAGGAGAGGGGTTTGGAGGACATGGTCCAGGCAGGGGTGGCAAGAACAGATTTGTCAAGAATGGACATGGAGATTGCTGTTCTTCCCCAGGTGGGCACAAGCAGGGCAGCAGAGCCCTGTGGTACCAGTGGTTACAGGTCCCGGACAGAACATCCCTCCGCACAGGTAACCATGCAGGCCTCAGAACCAGTGCTTGCTTTGGGACAGGCCCGCCCCAAGCCTCCTGCATTCTGTCATCAGGCAATGCTGCCTTTCACTTAACTGGGTGTTTTCTCTGCACGCTCCAGGAGGGGAGCTTCAGCTGCACACTAGGGGACTGATAGGGAAATTTTATCTTTTCATCTTGCTTATCTTTCTTCTCTGCATGGGGGTGGCATCTTTACTCACCCCCCACTCCTGGTGCTGCTCCCGCCCCAAGCACTCCCCTGTTCTAAGTGCCCCTCATCAAGCTGAAGGCATACTAGGAGGAATTTGAATTTTCCCAGACACCTTAGAAAAACCAGGGGCCAGAGATGGCCAGCTTCCAAGGAGTAGACTGTGACAGACGGGCTTTGTCTCTAAGAGTAGATCAGGCGCTGAGAAACCAATAACTGATCTCAGTGCCAATATCACCTTCAGCTAACACATTATTCGAGTTGTTGTTATAAGCCTGTGGATAGCTATTGGATACCAAGTACTTTAGCCACAAGGATGAAAAAAGAAGTATAGCCCTAGCCAGTTTTGCTCAGTGGAAAGAGCATCGGCCTGTGGACCAAAGGGTCCCAGGTTCGATTCTGGTCAAGGGCACGTATCTCTGTTGGGTTGCAGGCTCCTTCCCAGTCCAGGCTCTGGTCAGGGTGCATGTAGGAGGCAACCTATCTACATGTTTCTCTCACATTGATATTTCTCTCTGTCTTTCCCTCTCTCTTCCACTCTCTCTAAAAATCAACAGAAAAATATCCTCCAGTGAGGATTAAAAAAATAATATTAATAAAATAAAATAGAAAAAAAAGTATAAAACTTGATTCAGGGACCAAGGAAATAGACTTAGGATTCTGTCCTCAGTCTTCCTAGATTTCTCTTCCATTGATAGTCTCCATCCAGCAACCATCATGTCCATGCAGATGGCTCCAGATTTATGTAACCAACCCATAGTCTCTAATCTGAGCTCCAGAGACGTACTCCAACCACTGCCTAGACATATCTACCATGATATATACTTACACCCTCCCCACACTCGACATGTCCAAAACCAAATTCATCCATCAACCTAACTTCCCCTCCACCCTGTCCCAAACCTACCCATTTCCAAAGTTTGACATCTTTCTGTCTACAATGATCTTTTAGGCCCTTCTCCCTACTCCCACTATTCTTCAAGATAACTCAGATCTCTTGTTTCCCATGTACAAAATGTCTGAGTGCCATGGAGCACATCGTGGTTGGGCTAGGCTCTGTCTTCTGGATGCCCATATTGATTTCAGAGAGGAAGGGAGAGGGCGAGAGAGATAGAAACATCAATGATGAGAGAGAATCATTGATTGGCTGCCTCCTGCATGTCCCCTACTGGGATTGAGCCCGCACATGCCCTGCCCAGGACTTGAACTGTGACCTCCTGGTTCATAGTTCAATGCTCAGTTACTAAGGCACACTGGCTGGGCTGAACCCCCATACTTTAAGGTCCAGATGAAAAGCCACATGAAGACTTCCCAAGTGAAGTCTCCCCTAATCCCTCCCAAGCAAAGAGCCTCTCCTTCCTCTGGGCTTCCATAGCACTTACTCTAAACCTCTCTTTCAGCCCCTTTTTGCTCTCTTCCCCCTTTCAAACACGAGTCTCTAATGTCTTTGTACCTCTGAAATATCCCTACTTCCCAGTACATTTAGGAATGTCACACCCAACAGAAACAGTTCTGCCATTCCGAATTTCTCCTTTGTGGGGTGCTGACTGGTGCCTTCTTGTACCCTTCTTATCTAACAGTAATGGGGAATGCTTCCCCACACATTGCTGCCTCGGCTTTGGTGCCATACTCCCCAGGATGTCCCCAGTCCTCAGTGATCAGGTTGGTTGACTTGTCTGTGTGTTCATTACACTGCATTCGCTCATGTCTGGGCACTTACCCCTGAACTGAATGTCTTTCTTGCCCCTCCACCCTCTTTGAGGAAGAGACCATGAGGACAGGGACCATGCTTTGTTAACCCTCCCATCCCATCTTTGCCCTGCTTGATTCACCTTTGGTCCAAAGAAAGCCCCCCAAAGTAAGCCACATTCAGTAAGGAATTCAGAATTCTGAAGAAAATGTCAACAGCTCGCAGAATGCATTTTGCAGCAATTCAGCTTGCCCGGCTGCTGGCTCCATCCTAGACTGTAGTAGGCACGAGGCAACAATCTGCTTTGGGTATAGAAATTGAGTGATGTGTTTTTTGAACTGATGTTAAAGTCCAATCGTTTCCAGCTTCATGAGATTTACAGCCAGTTTTGTATGTGTGAAACTAGCCAGATCACCAAGGGAATTCATTTTCTCATCAATAATAGCAATTTCCACAGCTTAGCACCTATAGTTGTAAATAATTTATTTTAAAAACTCAGCCATATTTAAATTTATTATAACCATCTAGACACTTCATCATGCACAAAAATAATAGCTGCAGAGCTATCTTCTGTTTATTTCTGATGCGCCCGCTTCTGATATGTACATTTATTATATATAGTGATTAACAATGTCAGCTCCAGGGTCAGAGGGCCTGTGTTCCAACCCCACCCACCCCACTATTCACTAGCTGTGAGACTGGGAAAATCATGCCATCCCCTCTGTGCCTCAGTTTCCTGGTCTATAAAACAGCAATATTGGCATTTGCATTATAGGGTTATGGACTGAATGAACTGAATGAGCGAATCCATGTAAGGCCTTAGACAGTGCTTGGCACCTGATAAATACTCTATGAAAAACCTAGCTATTAGGATTTGCTAGGGGTGAAGCCATAGGAAAAATGTTTGTCTTTATGCCATCCCCAGCCCTCAGCGTTCCTATTCAGTAGGGAGGGGGCAGCATTATCCACATTTTACAAACAGCGCAATTGAAGCAAGATGTCCAGGCAGCGAGCGGCAGTCTGAAACTGGAACGCAACTCTGTAGATGTAAATACAAGGACTCTTTCCAGGAGGCTGTGAAGCTGTACAGTTAAAATGAGTGTGAGGCATCCCAGAGGAGCCTGTGAGCAGTGACCCCCGACGGCCCTTCTCTGCCACTGTTCTCATGGATGCTCAGCAAAGTCACTTCCCTCTCCATCTCTGAAATGATTTCAGGCTGTGGCTTCCCAGATATTTCTCTTACCAGCTTTTTAAAAAGCCATATTAGGGTGTTAGATGAGGTGCTGGCTAGATACCCTCTCTTTGGTCCCCCATGTTCCCTGGCTCCTGAAGTCCTCCCTGCTGGGGTGCCTTGGGTATAGATATATACCTTACCTGGCTGCAGACCCTGGTGCGTTGCAGTGTGTCTTTCTGGTGAGCCAGGATCTTAACTCACTTGGAACCCCCACAAGAAGACTGGCTGTACAGGACCCTGTCTGTGTGGAAGCAGCCCCAAGAGTTCGTGGATATCAGGAGCATTCCTGTTTCTCAATTTGGACTATTCAAGAGGATGCGTTCCCTTTCTGTCCACTAGGGGCCGCTTGTAGGGGGATGGAAAAAACGGAGGCTTAAAAAATATGCTGCTGAAATTTCAGCAAGAAGGGAAAAGAGAGAGCGCTTGAGAGAGAGAGAGAGAGAGAGAGAGAGAGCGAGAGAGAGCGAGAGCGAGCAAAGCATACCAGGCTTCCTCATCTCCTTCACGTCAGAGGCAGGAACCGACTGTGCGAAGGCTGTTGGCTCAACACGCAGAGACGGCGGAAGGCTCAGACAAGAGAGAGTGGGAGCAGAGGGGTCCTTCCTTACCCAAGGAATTACCACGAGTGGAGTAAAGCCGCCTGACTTTTTGATCTTATTTTGTTTGCCTCCTCTTCCTCCTTCCACTCCAGCCCTGCCAGCTTGGAGCCTCCTCTTCCTCCCAGAAAAGGAGGAAGGGAAGAGAAGGGAGAGAGGTGGGTTCTCTAGGTGAGCGCATCCGCCGGCTCCAGCCCGCACAGGCAAGGAACCTTTTCTCAGAAAGCTCCTCTCGCTCCCCCAACGCCCACCCCGAGCCTGGTAAGTCCGGCGCACTCGCTCCCTCGGTTTTCTCGCTAGCGTGATTTCAGCACCACGGAGAGCTACGAGATGCCTTTCTCTTCCTGTGTGTCTGTGTGTTCCGGCAAGGCTCTGGCAGTAAGGTTACATCTATCTGCTGCCGTGGAGCTGGGTTCTGCGTAGCGAAAAAGGGCACAAAACTATGTCTACCGAATTAAAGGGGGATGTGGACTCCGGCCTTAGGGGTGTGCGTGTGCGTGAGTGTCTTATGCTGTTGCATAAGACAGGTGAGGTCTGAGCTACATTGACAGTTGGTTTCTGTGTCTCTGTGTAGGGTTGTTCTGCTATGTAGATAAGAGAGAGGGTTTGGGGAATTAGTCATGCGTCTTCCTTAACTCTTGCCCGACAAGCCATTCATGGTGGGAAAGTGTTGCAAAGGAAGTCTGGGGGTTTGGGAGTGGCGGTAGACTTAAAAGTTATGCTCTTCTGAGAGAGGTTGGAAGAGGTGGTTGTTAAAATGTCAGTTTCCCCAGGATCCTTTGGGCTCTTGCTGTGGGAGGAGATCAATCTGACCTTTTACTTTCTCTCCTGGTGTGGATCCATGGCAAGTGGACAGGTGCGACAGGTGAGCATCAGGATGGGGTGGTTTGGGGGGCTGAGGTCCCCCTGACCTCACAGTGGCAGGAACGTGTCTTGAGCTTTGCCGAGGTTGGCTGATGGGAATTAGACTTCATTTGCAAGGAGGCAGGAAGTGCCCTCCACTTTGCTGTCATCCTTGACTGTGTATGGTTGTGGACAACATCTGTTCTGCCCTGTTTTCTGCCTGTGGAAGACCGCTCAGAAGAAGGGTTTGCCCCCTCATGTCTGGGGAAGCAGGCTCAGGCAGGCTCTGAGTAGTGTTATGTCTTTAAGCACTGAGGGGCGCCACAAACAGGTTCATTGTTACTTTAAATTTCATTGCTACTTCTTTCTGCAAGGCTCTGCTCTGTCTCCTCTGCCTCTCAGAAATATGTTTATTAACTCCCCGCATCTGCCTTGGGTTTGCCTTGGAGACACTCACTATCTGCTTCCCCCGCTTCAGTTTTACCCACATCTGCTCGGGTGGGACCGTTCAACAAGTGGTGTTGGGGACTTCCTTTCATCATCCAGTCTCCAGGGAGCCGGCATCCCAGGGGATATTAAGGCTCTGGTCACCTTCTCTAAGAGGAGGAGAGGGTCAGGTTCACTCCTTCATAACCCCAATGAACTCTAGGTTGCAGTTTCTCTTGCTTTTAATTCAGCACCCCAGGCCCCTCTTCCAAGCTGAACAAAATACTTGCTGCTCTTGTTCTGGTGATAGACATAGTCCTGAGTGAATGGCAGCACTGTTTGGTTTGGTTTTGACTATGCTTGCCATTGAAGATGCAGTAACCTCAGCATCAGTGAATGCGGTGAGGAAAAGAGTGCAGTCAGAGGTTGTAATGGCGGGGAAGGAAGATTGAAATAGAGAAGCAGAGCATCAGAAACCAACACTGACGCATTCGTATTTCAACTCTCCCAACTCCTCCCACCCTTGAAACCTCTCAGTTTGAGCAAGAGTGGATGGCTTTCTGCGTGACATGGCCCCGAAGGTTTAAAAAAGTCCATGCCCTTGCAGTGACACCTGTCCCAAAGCACCATTTATTACTGAAGTCACTGTGCTTAGTGGTCATTATCTCATTAATGCCCTTAAATTCTCTCCAAAAGAAGTGCTCAGTGTCATTACTGGGCCCACTTAATAAATGGGAGACATAGGAGTTGGAACTGCTAGGCCTGAGCATAGCAAAAGTGGAAATAACACTTCTGGTCTCCTAATATCTCATCACCTCTGAGGTGCAGAAATGCTCATGTGTGAAGGAGCAGAGATGGATTGCTCCCCAGTGGACAGAGTTGCAACCGAAGCCTTTTAGTGAGCTCAATGTGGAGCAGTGACTTTACCCTGGTGAAGACTGAGAATCAGCTAGGAGTCTCAGGTGTTGCGGGTCTCAGGTTCTCAGCCAAGAAGATGGCTAGGAGCAAGTTGAAGAGCTCTCTGGGCTTACTGTGAAGAGAGAAGCCCAGGTTCGTGGCCTCTAGGCTGAACTGATGACACACACCTGATTGCCATATTTACCTTGTTTCAGAAATCCCAGTTGGAGGCACCCTTCTGGGGCACATTGCCATGAGTGCCTTGGTTCTAGGTGTTTCATGACTTTCCTCTCCTCTGAGCCTTCTCTGCAAGTGCCTCCATTGCATCTTTGGTGGCTCAGAATATGGGGAGGATGACGAAGGAGGAGGAGATGGCTGGGCTCTGAGCACCTAAAGAAACTGTAATGGAGTAAATGGGAGATGGACACAAACCCACCTCACATACCAACCTCTGCTCCCCCGGCAGCCCTTGCCCTCCCCTCTGGGCAGCATTTGGGAGAAACGGCCACTGTGTTCTCATATCCAGCCCTCGTTCACAGAGCAGAGAAGACTCTGCTGGCTGCCTCCGAGATCCGAGGATGGGAGAGATGTGGGGACAGGTGGAGGAAGGAGAAGGTGGGCACCCTGCCTTATTCGCCCCAGCCATGGGTTAACATCTTTGACCTGGAGAGCACTGCTGTTACTAAAAAAATCCAGGTATAGTTTTCATACAATAAAATGTACTGATCTTAAGTATTCATATTAGTGAGTTTTGACGTTTGTGTTAACCACTACCCCAAACAAGGTATATAAAAGTTCCCTTGTGCTTCCTTCCAATCAATTTTCCCCTCCCCCAACTCCATCACTCTCTGACTCCTGTTAACATAGCTTCCACTGCTATGTTGCAGTAGAAATATATTGCTTAAGGTGATACTTAATGAGCATGTTATGTAGATCCTAGACTTTTAAGAGAACATTTCAGAGTTCTGAGGTTACTGTCATTAGGTGGATGGCAGAGAGGGGAGGGGAGGGGTGCATTCTTTGTCCAAGATTATGGTCATGGTGTTGGAAAGTCAAGTGGTCATTATGTGTGTGTGTGTGCGCGCGTGTGTGCGTGTGTGTGCGCGCACGCACCACAATCAAGTCCAAATAGGAACCACACAGGCCCCTGAAAGCCTAAGGATACTAGGGGAAGAGAGAGGAGCATTCACTGTGATAGTGTTTATGCCATGAAATTTGGCTCCATCCACAAAGGCCATGGCTAAGATTGTTGTTTCTCCTTATTGAAAAATGGCTTTAGAACTGGAAGACACTTTGCAGAGACTCATGTCCCATCATATACTATCATAGTTCCATTAGGGATGTCTCCATTCTTCCTTCTTCCATCCTGATTGTAGGTTAGGATAGGGAGTCTCCTATTTTATCATGAAGAAGCAGTGGAGTTATCAGAAAGTTTTGATGATTTTGGTGGAAAACACACACACACACCACACACCCCTACATAGTGAGTCCTAATTGAAGAAGCAGTGGAGTTATCAGAAAGTTTTGATAATTTTGGTGGAAAAAATACACACACACACACAACACACACACCCCTACATAGTGAGTCCTAACACCTCACCCACCCTGTATCTGTAAATGCTCTATGTTTAGAGAATGTTACATAGAGATGGGGCCTTTTGTGCACAATTCAAGCATGAGTTTCTCATCTAAAAACTCAGTTTCTGCTAGATAAACCAGTAAATCAGAATCTTTAGTA